AAATTCAAAGGACTATGATTTATACCCGGGCTAAAATAAAACCACCGCTGTCGTTTCGACGAAGAGAGAGGTCGTTTTAGAACGCGTGATAAACGTCACATCGACAAAAATGAAATACGGCACCGAGAATATCGTGGCAAAAAATATCTCAGACGCGCCGCTAGACGAATCGAATGACCAAACGAATAGACAGCTAACCAGATAGAAACCACGAGTCATCCCGTGTCCCGCATGTTGTAACGCGGGAAGAATACGCGATTTCCCGAATTAAAAATACGTCCGAGCTTTCGTAATTAGGTCGACACGTCGGGGTCGTGAATTAGGTACAATTTATGACCAAATTCACAATTTAATAGCTGTACTTATACAGAATTACAAGTTGACGATTGAGATAATTATAAATAGTAGTAACGAGATGAGAATTCCTTGCATCACCGAGGGTATGCAAAGATCAGGTGACAGAAGCTGTTTTACGGAAAAGTTCGATTGAATCGATTCTAAAATGATTGAAGAACGGTGAAGGGAGATGCGTCGTCATCTGTTGTCCGTACAAGGGCAAACTACTCGCTTTACGGAGGTGGTAGGCCTTGGTTGTTACCGCGGATTGACGAATAGCGCTTTGGCTTTGGGACGGACGCCGGAGGCGGTCCGCTCGCGATTTACCTACTTACTTCGCTCGCTAAACTTCTTTAACGCACAACGGCCACGTTGTCCTCGTGGCTGCGGCCAATTAGCCGCGAATCGCGTTGCGAGAATCACGGTGAGTGTGTACCATCGCGAGAGGAGAGAGGAGATATCGCTGCACGTGAATAAGATCCATTTACGCGAGACCTTAAGGAACCTTAAAGCGCTCGCTATGGGTTATTTACTCATAAAAAATTCTGAAACGAAAACCGAGAACGGTGTTCGCGGAAATCGTTTGAACGCGGTAATTCCCTCGATGGTGGTGTATCACCGCGCTTTTCTACTGTAATACTCGCGATTAAGAATCCCATCTCTGCTTCCCTTTCTCTCCTTCAACACCGCGTTGCCTTGTATCTGGAATGTTGTGTCTGGAACTTAGTTGAAACCGAATCGCATCGCTTGGAAATTGTTAACATATTCGCTTGTATCATCGTTGCATATCTCCGTTCATATCTCTTTGTAGATACATTTTTTCTGGACCTAACTATTTATAAATTATATTATAAATATATTTACCTACACCTAAAAATATTAAACGTTTAAATTAAATAAAATAAGTAATTCTAACGAAGCGTTTGAAGGATGTTTGAACAAACGACTTAATCTGTTGGGTGAACAATTGTGTCTACCTTGGTGAGGTACGGAACCGGCCATATATAAAGAGATTACCAAAAACTGTTGGTAATGTGTACGGAAATCGTCAGGGTCGACGGGTAGTCATAGTTAGCCACCAGAAATCGATCAAGGCAGGTCAGCCAGGTACGGACAAATGAGTGTCCACCACCAGTTGGGATTTTCCTCTTGTGTCCCTTCGAGCGTTTACGGCTAATCCAGTTTTATTTCCTTCTTAAAAGAACTTCCAAGACACGTCCCGACGTTTTCTTTCGCCACGGTCGCAATTAGGCCCATACTGTTAGCTTAATTGTCGGAGATTTTATGGTAACCCGACCGACCATGGGATTTTCCCCATTGTAGTATTTTACTACCACTCGTCCCAAACAACTTTTACCTATCGCTTTAAACGGTACATAAATATTAGGGAAAATCCCATCGTTAAAACTAAAAAACATGATTCCAAATTCACTCTTGGACGTCAGTTACAAGTAATTAACAAGCAGGCTCGTGATTTTATGCATTTATAAGAATTCTGATTTGATTGTTCTTCTCTTTGAATGAAAACTCTCGAAAATATGAATGAGCAGAGTTATTAAGAATTTCCGTAGATTTCCACGAATCGAGAGATACGAGGTTAATAACGATCGGTTAATTTGTTCGACGGCGAGAGATATCGTTGCTCCCGTTTTTATTGCTGCCACGATAATCGAATAAAATGGTGCAACGTGATGTCATCCGACGATAAAACGGCTATCTGAGAGACGCTCTCGATCATTCTCGTTTTCCTGCGATCGAAAAACGATTTTCGCGTCGCGGTTTTCGAAGATTCGAACCGAGTGCACCGTGGCTAGATAAGGCAGTAACCGTGGAACAGGTAAGACAAGAGTAACAGAGGATACTGGACGATAGATCCTTATAAAGGAGAAGAGCGAACCACTTAGATCTCTCTGCGTGCGACGATCCACACTTGACCGATCAGATACTAACTTTTCTGTCGTCGTAAGTCGAACCCAAACCTTGTGCAATTTATTTTATAACTGATTTACAGACCTCGGAATAACATAAAACGAAATTTTCTGTTTCTTTTCTTCATTACTGACTAATAATATGCATTCCGCGTTTGATAATCTACGTCTTTCTGCACATGCATACAATCCGTATCCTGTTGATTTAGAAAAGGGAACTTCTAATCGTAGATGCAATTTGTTTCGTTTTTAACCGTGGCTCGGTGCAAAAATGGGAATTTGCGTAAACGTCGGGTGTCTATTAATCATTGGCTGAAATAGTAAGTTCGGAATTGCATCGCGGTTTATTAGGAATTAACGCCACGTCCTCACTAGCCGACCTTGTTCTACGTACTCTCGACGAAGGCTCCGAGATACGCTTCACAATCGAAACTACAAAAACATTGCGCAATTAAGCGACAAACAGCGCGTAATAATAAACAGAATTCCGCAATCCAGCATCGCGATGATGTCTTCTAATAAATAAAAAATATGCAAATATATCCACAAATGAGTATGGCCGTGTTCTTATCTTAATACGAACGTGAAGGCAAATAAATGTGCGCGCGAGAATTTTAAGTGACAAATATTGTATCAACCTCAACCTGATTATCGGTATGATACTTTGAATCGATGCGAAACGGTTTCATTGAAACATTTTTAATAGCGATACGTGCGAACGTAAAAATTGTTAGCACAGAGAAAATGAACGATACGATACCGAGGAACGTTTCAACGCTCGAATTTTCAGGATCTATTATCACTGGAACAATGTGCGCCGTTCTGGCAATAGAACGTGGCGTTTGATAGATAGCATCTAGAATTTCATTTGCAACGGATCATTTGCTCCGACTATTGATAAATAGTTACGTAAAATAAATTGTTTATTATTCGAGGACAATCGGAAAGCCGTGGTTCTTTCGTTAAATTGATTGGAAAATTTAGTCGCTGCACTTATAAGTATGAAACATTAAATTCAACATACAAAATGGCTACCTATGTATATCGATTATTGCGTCAATCGTATGAATTACTATGACGCACCGAACGATTTTTAACTTCGACGGGATCAGCGAAGTGTCTCTGGATGTGCGTTTAAAATGAGGGCAATAAAATGGATTTTTCACTGGCCGCGTCCCAGAGCGGTAAATCTTTCTGTTACGAGTGTTCGGGTCAACGTATAGTTCACAAGTTGTTTCCAAGTCGGGCGTTAAAAATCTGGCTCGGTATGTGGGTGCGGTTATCGGCTGTTCCGATATACATTATATACGTGTACGTAGAGCGCAACCAATCTGAACGATGCGACGGGAAAGAAAACGGTGAAACTACGCAGCGTGCGATGTCGCAAAAATGTCAACGCGGCGACGAGAGCCGCGTATCGTTCGCGCTAAGTATGTTTACAGATTCGAGCCCAAACCGACGGTATAATTTATGCCTTCGCGAATATACTTTGAGTTGCACGCTTTGTAAACAGCGTCCCGATGACCCACGTCCGAGACTCTACATCCGAGGCAGGCTTGAAAGATTTTCGTCAAATAAAACAGTACACGGTATCCATTAAATGAGCCGTACAAAGTACCAGTGTCCACAAACAGTAAATTGTTCTCCTACTTTGCTTATTCAATTTTATCAAATAGCTATTTTATATTGAATTGAAAGGAGCAACTTTACTTTAAATAATTTAAAAGCTATCAATAAATCATAAGACTGAATAATTTGTTTCCACTAGAAGGGCAGAACTAGAAACGAAACCTGTTTTCTTTCTTATTAGTAAATTAAATTAGACGGTCGATAGACAGGTGCATAATTGACTCGATTAACATTGGTTTGGTATGGTCCCGCCGTTTTTCGGTCTTCATTCGTTAAATTGATTACTGCCAGTCTGAATACGATATCTCATCGGGTAATCCGATCGTTATTAAAGGTAAGTATTACGCTACGTAATCTAGAAGCAACTGTAATTAATCCCCGGCTGCACAACCGCATTTCCTCGCTGCAAACATTTTTGCTCAAATTGTTCGATCTCTGCGTACGTCTGTTCTACAACGCAACGGATTACTTGAGATAATTAAGAGAACGATCCGAAGTATCGTGCGGCGAACGCATTCTGAATTCGTTCGACGGTAAGAACAAACAGCGACGAATGCGGTAACTTCAATACGCATTATTAACTTATTCTGACATCTGGGTCAGTGAGTACGAGTGTTTAAGAACGAGCACGCATCTTCCTGCCATCTCTTTTTATCCTCCAACAGTCGCGCGAGCGTTACAAGGAACAAAGCATAAACCTTTTATGTTTTCAACTCGATAACGGGGGTTCGGTTTAGCGTGTAATTTTGGAAGATAGTCGAGGCCGAGATAAGATCGCGAGAAGTTTCAGAAGGATATGCACCGGCGCGGCGCGGCGTTTCCTCGCCGGCAAAGGGGAGAACGAGAATGAGTCACGCGGCACCGATTCAAAGTAGACGATCGAGAGGAGTTCGATTCCCGCCTTTTTCACGTGGCGACTTTGTTACGTAAATACGAGAGTCACGGCGAAGAGCCTCGTTATTTTCGAGCGTTCTCCAACCTTTAAAGGAAAAGAAACTGCTCGCGTTCTGACGAAATCCCAAGCCCGAAACCGCGACACGCGCGATAACTGATTCCGCAAATTGACTCGCTAACGTGGAATGTATCTTTTAATTGAGCGAGGCTTACCGGCGGCGCGGTGAGGTCTCCTGGCCCAGTCCTCCTCGATCAAAGGCGCGACCCTGCGCGTGCGAACGGTCAAAGGACAGGAGACGATGACGAGCAAGATCACCAGCAGACCACCGTGGAAACGCATCTCGGCAACTTTCAAAAAGTCCGACGGTGAAGCGTATCTTCTGTCTCTCGTCTGGCACACACGGATGTTTCTAAACGCGCTTCTCTCTCGCGTCGCGTTCTATCTCGCACCGTCTATCTCCTTTCGAAACACTGCTAGTGCTTCTCTTTCTCTAGTCTGTTATTCGGAGCCACGGCACTGGTCTATTAACGACCGTTCACTGCACAAAACTTTCTGCACTCTCCTTAGCCACTGCCTCTCGTCTCACACCACCGCGTCTCCTCTCTGTGCCACGTGACGAAGCGACAATCCACGGTCCGTGAAAGATAGCCACGAATTTGAAAGGCAGACACGCCGCACGATTTTCGCGAACAAAAACTGCGAGCAAAACGCAATAATATGGTTAGAAACGATCGGTGCGGCAAAAGGTCGTTCGCTAGCCACAATATTTACTGCAGATAACGCGACGTGTCGCGTTCCGTTCGAGACACCTACAACGAGCGCATTCGACGGCTTAATAGGCTAAGGTACACAACACGCAGGTTCGTTCGTCTCTTTTCCTCCAACGATACCGACGCTCGACGGTGTATTTATCTCATTCCTTCCCTCCTTCTTTCCACGCGTGCACTCCTTTTTTCGCGCTATCGTTTCTTTCACCGAGTTCGTACGAGTCTAATGTCCCCGGCGCTCTTCTTTCCCGTGTTACTGCGCGAGCGTTTTATAAGGCGGTAGGTACACAACCAGCGAGGCGACGACGACGAGTTTCGAGAGCTCACCACTCCGTCTCTCTCTCTTGCTCTGTCTCCGTTTTAACCGGCGCACTTCTTCCACGCAACTCCGCCTCGCAACTCTTACGAGAGCTCGCGGTGCAACAATGCCGGCACGAGCATCCGATCCGTTACCTCGAGCCTGAGAACCGAACAGTTGCACACCGATAAGACTAGCGTTCGACTCGCCGGCTCATATCGAAACCTCGGCCAGACGACGTTACATATTTTTAATTAGCGACACTTTTCCCAAGTTGCTCGCAGGATTATATTTGGTTCACCACCGACCTGTTTCCACGCGAACCAACGGAGCAGCGTGCGTCTGATACGGTCGCCGCGTGACTGCCGCAACTGAGTGACTGACTCGGTGGGAAGCTGTTACCCGACTTGCTCTCTACGCCCGTGCCGCCGCTGAATCCGATGTGTCCCGATCATCGGCACAACGTACCACCGTCTCCGGCTGGCTCTCGCTCGAAAAAGCTTCTGGTTTCGCGCTTGCGCCACGAGGACGATTCGCTTTTTCGTACCACGCGACGCGATGTACACGTCTACCTGCCACCGACAAATTTAATTCTATACGCACCGAAAGACGAGACAGGATACACGGCTGCGTCCGCGGAAGCGTCGCTCTGTCTGCCGCTCGCGCTCGGTATTACCGGCGACTCTCTTATAATAGTTTTCAACCACGTGTACCACGGAATCGAAGATCGATCTCGCTTCCGGATTTCGAATCAAACCTTCTAAAGTCAAATCTTGACGATTTTCCGTGATATTGTTATTTGCCAACGAGCAAATTTTATCGGTTCTCTTCTCCTTCGTCTTGGAAAACGATTATTCAAAAAGAATTTCCTCCGTTTTTCTTTAAATCAAACGTATTCTCCGGTTCTTGTCCGATAAAAAAAATGTATGAACAAGGTAACACCCTGATATATCGTACTATCACGAAGGAAAGACGGCTAGAAGAGCGCAAACGGTACACGTTGCTCCGATGTAGCTCGACGATGACAACTGTCGGCAGCCCGGTCGAGTCCGTCGCTTTTATGGGGATAGCCGACCACGCTGCGGCACCGGGACCGAACCTCTCCGTGTGTGCGTACAAGCGTTTACAAGCTCCGTGTACTCGCGACGCGGCGTTATCGTGCAAGTGCGCGCGCGTACGCTTTCTTAATACATATGTATGTACCGCGTGCGCGCGTATAGAGGATACCAGGATACACTGTGTTCCCATCTCTAAGTTCCTCCGGAGTGTCGCAAAGAGATGCGTACAGTGGAAGTCAAAAGCGAACGTACATAAATCTTTGAATGTTTTACAACGTATCGAGCGCTTCACTCCGCGTTGTATCTATCATCCAATTTGTAAAATCTCTCGATACGTGTATTCACTTTTGGTTCTCGCTGTATGCAAAGCGAGGGAGAAAAAAAAAGGACAGGGGTTAAACTGAGAGAACCCGTGTGATACCTCGATCGCGGTGGGTGTCGCAAATGACTGTGCTTCGTGTGCGAGGTGTGCGAGCGCGCTACGCGTGTGGGTGCTTCTCCCACCTCCGGCTTAACCACCACTATCGCGTTTCCCACCTTCCGCGCTTTCGGCACCACCACCATCGTTGGAGAACCCGTGTCACATCGCTATCAGACTGGCGAACACGAAACTCGACTTGTCGTGTTCACCCACACCTCTCGCCAGTATTTTCCAACTATTGAAACTTATTGATAGTGAGCCAATAAGAAGTAATAAACTTGTTGTTCAGATTTTGCTTGATTAAAACGTACTGTATGCAAAAGTCGTTATATGATGGAGATTATTGGATGAAATGTATTCTTGTATTTTGACAAATTCAAACGTACCTTTCTCATTAAATTTCTTACTGATTCGCCATGTATACATATTCTCTCCGTCATTCTTTTAATTCTTTTCCACGCTCTCCGTACTCTCTTCCATGTGCAGATAAATTTGTAATGTAATAAATCAGTATTACGTACAATAAAGCAATACATGCAATTATCAGAATACTATTGTTGTATATTATTTCATACGTGCATTTCTAATAACGCGATCTCGACCACGGATCGACGGTAAGCAGTTTTTGTCGAATGATGTAACGCGATGGAAAATGTCGAAAGGAATTCCCGGATGTGGATAAGAATCTGTGTGACTATATCAATGAGCCGATACTGTGAATGAAGCCGCGATCGCGGTGGTTTCCATTCGGGTGCTCGTCGATTCGCTACACGCACCGGAATGACGTAGACGTAGACGTTAAACGCGCTTGATGCAAATCCATCGTACGGGCGTCGCATACGTAAAACAGATTAGTTAGAAGTAATCCACGATTTTCGATTCATCCTTACAAGTCTAAGTTGTTAAGTGTTCAAAGTTGAACATACGGCTTTTATGTCTGATGCACTTTTTAATGAGTAATTCATATCCAAGGCAGAGTTATCACGAGCAATGGGAATAGCGTGAATCAAAGTACGTGAACTAAATGAACTGTCCCTAACAGTTTAAGGGTTACAAGTATGGAGAACATTGTGACGGTAGCCTAAGGCAAGGGATCTTCCCTCGCGAATCTTCAACCCGGTTACTCCATCGAATCTCACCTCGGCGCCTAAAAATAGACCGACGAAAAGGGTGTTCACGAAACGAACACCGTCCCCCTTTTTCTTCGTTTATTCGGCAGTTCGAACAGCAAAGATCGACCGGATACAGATTCGAAACCACGGTGCCGGGGGCCCGGGGGAGGTAGCGAAAGAAAGGAGAATAAGAAGAGCAGGAGCGCGGGGTCCACGGAGGAGGAACGCGTGTATCCTCGGCACCTCTCGTGTATCCTCTGGCTCCGGCGCGGCGTCGCGTCGCGACGGGACTGGCACCGGCAAACTCGTTACGGAATCGTCCCTAAGACGGGGTGACTAATTGCTAAGCGGCTTGTAAAAATTCGCAGGACAGTCTGTCGACATCGTGGCGCGGTCGTCTCATCGTCGCGCCGTTATTATACTTTTTGCCCGTGCACGCTTGGCTAGAGAAGAGAACGCGGGAGAGCGAGAGAGACGTGTACAGAGTACAGTTCCCACGAAAAGTACCGCGTCTATTCGTCACAGCGTGAAAACGTTAAACGAGAAAATGCGAGATCACCGATTTTTCCATCGTGGACGTGGGTACTCGGATCCGAGTACAGAAGCGATTGCGATTAGAATCTCGATGAAAGGACACGTTGGGAAGTTGCTGCAACACTTTTTGCAGCCACTGTATAGTCGAAGCGACGAAGATAGAAGGAGCGGTGGAGGGGTGGCGCGATGGCGAGAGGAGCGTGTGTGCGTGCGAGGCCTTAAGGTGAGAAAAGAAAAATGGCGAAGAGAGGCCGGGTCTCCCGCGAGAAGAAGGCGAGAAGGGGACGAACGCTTTCGCAGATTCCACGTGAGATACCTGCGGCATTCTTCGCTCTGCAACGAAGGCATTAAGCCGGATGCACATTCGTCGTGAACGACGCTCCGTGAATTCATTTCCAAGAAAAATATCTTCCGCCTCGAAACGAATTTTACGGCAGATTTTGTTCGCGACCGCCGCCGCGTCGCGCCTCCGACCGTTTTCTCTACCCTCCTTTCATTCTTGACGCGCGGCCACCATGCTTTTATTACCATTACGCCTTTTTTCTACCCAAATCCGAACTGACGATAAAACATCTATCTAATCCGGCGATAAACTCTTTTCTCGCGATGTTTACGCGTTTCGTGCGCCACTGATGACTGACCAAAGGTAATCCCTTGCGCGCGCGCGCGCATCTGCCGCCAATGATTGGCTTTGCCAGCTCGGGTGATCGCTTGGAAAAGCTGTCGATCGGTTTCTATCCAACAGATTTATCCTCTATCCTATCCTACCTCTCCTTAAAAAGGACCATACGAACAGTAAGCTATGAGTTTTAGGCAAAATTACTTGAATCATAAACAATTCATAAAGAATAAGAGAAGATAATATTTTGCGAATGATTATGTAAGATGATTCGTTAAACGTGTCATTGTCAACGAGACTTACAATTACGTCAGGCAATCGATTTCGCAATTTCTTATTACGATCTCAACGCTTTTCAGTAATCCACGGATTTAATGAGCGCGCTGACTTCGACTCTGTTTACTAAAATAAATCCGTAAAAGTGCAACCGATGTCGTAAAGATTGCATTCGCTTTGATCCGACGTCTGCTGATTCCACATTTAACTCACCCTATCAAAACTGTTATTATTACGTCTCTTGCTACATCTTTACTATCCTTTTGATTGCCGATGAGTAAACTCGCTCCAGTTTTACACTGCCGTAAGTATCAGAGACACGTAAATGCAATTTGAGATGTTTATTAAAAATGAAATATAATATCAATTATTATATGAATTACTATGAGAAATACAATGAGTGAATACTAATGGCCAGCAATACGTGAAATAAGAGAAGTTGCAGTTCGAGTAAAGAATGAAAATGGTCCGAAAAGTGTAATCGGCGAGCGGACAAAGATCAAAACCGTAGATAGAAAGGAATAAGAGGGAAGGGAGACAGCAGACTGGCGTGAAGTGGTGGGTTGGCACAAAAGGGCATGAGATGATTTATTTCAATTCGCTATCGCGGTGTGTCGCCCACGGTGGCGGTCGCGCGTGCACGGGCGAAAGAGAGGAATCATTTGCGCGAGCGGACCACACGCCGAATGAAACAAGAAGAAACTCAATTACTTCGGGGAATCATCGGGAACCCCTTTTGCGGCGGCGCAACTATTGGATTCTGACGCTGCATCTTACGTTTTCGCAGGTACGAAGAATGGAAAAAAAGAGGGCGACAAAGGGGAGAGAACCGGGGCGGAGTGTTAGAACGGAGAAAAAAGAAGAAGGGAGGATGAACGACGAGCGCAAAAGGGATCATCCTTCCCTAGGATTATTCACGATGCCGGGCTATGACAAATCTAATAGATTCTCGGCGAGTCAGGAGCCACCGGATAGAAAGAGGAGAAAACGACGCGCGGCCTATTCAACGCTCGATGAGCGGATGTAACGCTTCTCGGACCCTTCTGCGTCGGTCCCTTCTTTAACAATGATATCCCTTCTCGCGGCTGGCTATACGGAGAAATAAAGTCAAGCTCGACGTTGCTCACCTAGAGAGCGCGCTGGAGACACACAATGCTCATTGTCGGGGCTCGTCGTGGAATGCGTGGACCGAGGTATTGTCGGCGCACGCCAAATGTGGACCCTCTCTTTTCCGACTGGCACTCACATTCACGCTCGCCTTTATTCCAATCCTCGCTCTTGGCTTCATTTTTTATTTCATATTTCGAACGTGTTAATCGGATACGCTGCATAAATTGATCTTCCACTGATGAGATGTATTCTATGCCTCCTCTAGATCCGTATAGATGAAGGTCAAAGTTTTTTCAAAGGAAGTGTGTATCGCGCACCGAACAAATATTTAACTGAATTCGGGCCAAAAGCCACACCCGATGAACATTTCGATTCCCCACGAGTTCTAACGAATCGAATAGTTTAGCAATATTCGACTATCGAAAATTTATACTTGTTATACTATTTACATCGTTATCAATCTCTTTTAGTGGATATAAATCATGTCTACGTAGGAAATTTTAAACTCCAGCACGTCCAATAGAACGGCTGAGGAACGAATTGTTATTCGTATTTGAAAGCAATCAATGAAAATTATACCTAATAGTAAATAGCTGCTAAGAATAGACGACGAGAAATGTAGATTGTCGGTTTAATTGCGGGCTTAAAATATGATAGCGCATAGCGCAAGATCGATATATCCTTGGTCAATGACAGGGTGACCTTTGGTTTAAATTAACAGCGCCTCGGCTTCCGTCCCGACGTTTGTATTCAAAAACACACTCTCGAGCGAGAGACGATCGCATTATTTCGCCGTCCGATCGTTTACGAGACGGATTGCTGCGTTAATCTCGGCGCGTCAGCAGCCTCGAGTGCTGCTGGCGCCGCGGAAAAGCAACGATAGCTAAACCGGGCCTAACAGAATCCGGATACCTTTCACTTTCACCCAGTGAAAATCAAGACGAACGTGCATCGTTCGACTCGTGTTACATTTTTAATAGAATGAGTCTAAAAATTGCATATCTCCGTTTACAAGTACAAAAACGTATTGTAAACGTGGTACGATCGTAAAGCTCATAAACACTGGTTGTTATAGTACTCAGCACTGTGCGTAAAAAAAGAATAAACATAATTGTCGATTACACTTACCCAAAACAGGTCGAAAATATTGGGGACACCCCGTAGATCCTTTGGACTCCTCAGCCTGGGTCGAAGCTCGTATCCTGGCAGGGCGGCGTTAAATCGTCCGAATCGCAAACGCGTTGTATACAAAGGCTGGGCCGAGGACCGGTGATTAATTTCGTCCGGCAATTAAGAAGTCGCCACGAGCGGGCACGCGCGTGAAAAGGACGAGGAACCGGACCGAGCGCATCCCTCGAAGCGGCACGTCCAGGAGGGCCGTTGAATGGGCCCGAAACGAGGCCGGCCACCCCGTTTTGCTCGCCGATGCCGAGGTACCGGCTGGCAAAAGGTGCAAAGCGAAGCATGATCGCAGGCACAAAAGGAGCGAAATCTCTCGGGGTCTCCGGAATGAACGGTTTCCGCGGCACCATTAATCTCCGAGACAATGGGGCCGCTTCTACGAAAAACTGAGCCTGGGGCCCCGATGAATAAAGTTACTACCACTCCGCAGTCGGGTAGTTTCACCTGGCCGGCTTCGGGTATCGGGATAATCCGGCACCCGAGCACGGAAGCACGTTTGATCGAAGAAAAATGGTCCCTCTCGGTAATTTAAACGGACCCGAACGCGTTTGCAGGGACACCAGGTACACGCGTGTTAAGTACGCGATTTTACAGCGCCGCACGAGGTGTAAATAACGAGCCGCGCCTCCGGTACCCGTCTTGCCAGCAAACCTCGTGGTCCGAATCAGTTTACGACCTTCCGGCGCCTCGAGACACCTGCCCGCCTCGCGCACCTCCGCCTTTCTTGAAAATACTTTCCCCACCGAGACGGCGGCGCTCGTTCATTCAGGTAAACGCGGCACTCGGTGAATGCCGATGCTGCGCGAACGTTCCGTCGGTTGATGCGTCCAGTGATCTGAAATTTTTTCAAACGATATTTCATTGAAACTGGTTTTCGTTGAAAGGAGGAATTTATTATCGATCCCGCGATAGAGATATCGAGGGGACGATTGTTATTTCTCGTAGACTCGTTATCCGTCTACGTCGGGTTAATCGCGAGTTATGATCTGTCTGCGGTAATACTTAAAAAAAGAAACTACAAAGGCGTTGCGATTGATATTCCAAGCGTCGGCGCCGCTAGAATGATTTATCGACGGGATCCGTGTTGCGCATCGGGAAAATGCAATGAAACTGCAATCACGGCTATTTCTCTATTTGCATCCGGCGCCTTGGATCGGCGCCAGTGCGAATTTCTGAAACCGAAGGCAAAGGGCTGGATAGACGAGTTTCAACAAATTTAAGCAAACAGACATAATTCTGATCTGATAAATTTGGACGAACCTGCGCCTTGCCTCCGATAAGCCTAATTCTAATCGGACAGTGATCGGTGCGGTACGAGAAACAGTCATAACGCTTGTCTATCCTTGAGCAATTGATAGACGCGATACGAGGTGGTTCCCGCTAACTTTAATTGCACGGGAAATGTTTTAGGTGATGGTCGACGTGTTATCTAATAGGCTAACCGTTCGTGTACCATTTTCTAGAAATAGAACCGCGCGAAATGTTGCACGCATAAATATTAATTCGTTCAGCTACCACGTACATGAATATTTCAATCGAATTAAACTCGAAATGAGTTAACACTGAAATTAATGAGCCGGTATCGTATAATCGGCCGCTCTGATCTATCGAACGACATAACGGGCCGAAGGGGAGGCTAGAACACGCTGGAATCCGATTATGTATGTTCCCCGCGTGGAACCGATCGACTATTAACCCTGTCGATCTCGTTCCACGCGCTGTCACAAACCTTATCGTTAAACAACAAACGCGATCCGCTCATTTACGTTCTATCAGTGGCTCATTATGCATTCCTATGCACCTACATCAGGATTAACCGCCTTTGAAACAGAGATAACGATTCGCAATTGCTCGTCACCGAGCTCGTGTTCGTTCAACGATTGATTAATATTATAGTAAAAAACTGCGAAACGTAATCGTTTTGGTTTTTGTACGATCGCTGATCTATTTCTTGTTCAAGGACTTCTAACTATAAATCCATTTCAAACAGTCGTAGGAGGAAAATAATCCAGTCGAAAGTATAACGAAGAGAAATCGCGTTTCCGAACGGACGTTCCGTTACACGGTTAACCGATGCATAGAATATGGAACTCAGATAGAAGAAAAATCGGCTCGATAACGTTATTTTAGTTACGACGTCCAGACAAATTCATTGCCGATAAGTGATCGGAATAAAAACAGTCGCGACCGAGTCGCTGTCAGCAATGAGGTCGATTAATTACGGCGCCAAAGAGGAAACGTTCAAATAAACAGACCTGACGCGATTTCTTTTTCCAATTTGCTTCCCTTCCTTCTGGCTACGGTTCTCGATGAAAATTCGTCTAAACTTCTGCCCGTTAATTTAAAAATTCCTACCACACAGTTTGGCAGTTGCATAACGACTTTCATACATATATAAGCAATTGTCTTGATGGTAAAGGATCATCGTCCTCCCCTCTTACGTGCTACGCAATTCAATTACACAACTACGTACAATACGTACAAGATAGGCGCCATCGCGTGTCGCAATAATAGCCGTTCGTTGAAAAATCAGTATCTAATAATGTCCATTTACGTTCTCGACCAAGAATAAACGGCACCCAGGGCCACGCGACGTCTGACACCGTACAGCCACGTCCATCACTGATTTGCAAACGCTACAACGAAATCGATCTATTCTAAATTCGTTGTAACGTTTTTGAATTATTAAATAATTCATGGGATTATGTTATTAATTAGTAGATTTTTGTCGTTCAACATTCGCGAATGCGAAGCAAACTGATGTAATCTCGTCGCACGAATCGAACGTTTTGGCGCACACCGGAGAGAACCATATAGGTTTCTCAGGGGGCGTAGCCGAGGAATCTGTGCCATGTCGCGTAAACATACTATAATAATAATGTACTATAAATACGCGGCGAGAGAGACGGTGCACGAAATAGTCGAGACCAGACGGAGACAGGTCGCGAAAGAGCAATGCATGCAGGCGCCGGCGTCAAGTGACGGATACATTACACGCGTCGAGGAAGTATTATCTGTCGCACGTACTTATGCGCTTCTTCTTTTTTTACATCTTTCGCACTTTCTCGTCACTAAACATTTTGCGTTTAGTCAAAAATGAATTTGTTAGTTAAAAATAAATCGCATTGAACCGCGACTTGTGAGTTCGCCATTAGTGGCGTGCCTCGGTTTAACGACCCACGACACCTTCGCGATCTCGTCTCTGCATTTCCCCAGCGTTCGTACTTGTCCGAGCAAGGGCGACGCTCGTTAGACATGAAATCGATCTTAATTTCACGTAAAGCCGTGAACGAAACCGAGACCCGTATCGCGTCCCGTCGCGTCCACTTGTCACGGGTTGTCTCGATTCGGTTTAAAGGTAAGGCTGCTTTTTAAACGTCGACGACGGGTTTAGAAAGCAGATATTTATGACAGCCTACATTTTACTATTTTCCTTAACACTTTCTTGCGGATCTCATTACACATAAATCATCGGAAATAAGATAAAGTGCACGACGTATTTCCATTTTCACGGTACGTCAATGGTTTGCTCTAAAGAATAAAAATGCGTTGGAAAGAAACTCTCTCAGTTATCGAGTGTCAAGAACTGTCAACAACTTTTGCGGTATGACTCTAGCACATGAACATAAAATGCACAAATATAAATAAAGCACTGATAATGTATGTGCATAAACATTCTAAGTACACACCCGATCTCATGCCTACGTGTATACTCGCCCCTTTGCTTCGCAAATATACATTGATCTATTAGTCGGCGCGCGTGCGGTAACGTCAGATAATATTTTTCAATTTTCATTAGATCTTCGTAGAATCGAATCGATATATCCATCGCGTTAAACTATGTTCGAGCATTGAAATGCGACTTGTAACAACAGATTCGTGGCTGAGAGTAAATGATTAGGGATAACATTACCAAGAAGTGTCTAATCGTACTGATTAATGCCGGTTTGATTTAAGAAGGATATCGACAACGTGGATTACCCTTACCGAAAGTATGTACTTTTCGAGCACACGTGTTTATGTAAATGTCTGGCTTACACCGAGGCCTAAGTGGCCCGGTCTCGCGCCGGAACATTACTCACGTCCCGCGAACGTTACGATCCCCAGCGACGAAAAGTCACTCGCTAGAGTTTTCACAAAGGGAGTTATAGGGATCCGGTCGGGTTTGAGCGCACGTGCGAGATCGATGGCTCGTAATTCTCTAGCGCGTGTACGAAAGGAATGTTGGAAGACCGCCGAGTTCGTTGTAAAGTACACACGCGAAATTGACTGACGATATTTCGAGCTTTATCCTCATCTGCCGTGCAGATTGCCCTCACGGGATCGATACCCTCGCCGCATTTATCAATAGACAGCAGATTCTTGTGCGGAATTTACGATTAAGATTACATATGATTTCATTTTACACAAAAATTAGCAGTCTATTTATAAACGTTCCTCCGGCGCCAACTAATCATCGGCCAAACGTAGAAAACGATTTTCGTACAGGTTTGCCAAGGAGGCGCTTCAAAGTACGGATTTAATAACGCGGTAATGTCTCTAAATAGATGATCAAATATGAATGTCTAGAGAAGTAAAAATAAGTATAACGGATCGCGTGACGACGTGGTAAATGTCGAAGGTGAGCAATTATACGCAGAAGCGGGAGGAAACGCAGCTTCCATTAATCGGATTTGCATGAGTGGCGACCAGACGTCAATTAATAGCTGAATTATGCGGCATTCCTACAACCCGTTAGAGTTTACCCGCATTCGACCGGTCGTCGAGTGTCTTTATATTCCGTATGTGGCACACCACCCACACGCACCGCCGTTATCGGTATTGCCGCGCAACACGGTGCGTCGCGATCCAACATTTTACGGAGCGTACACGTCGACAGATGGGAATGTTGGCGCCATTCTACCGGCATTATGCGCGCACGGCAATGATCAAGCGAAATGAGCAAAATCACAGCCGCGATTGCGACTGTCCACGCTCGTAATCTCGATCTCGCAATACTCAATGCCTCTGTCTACAATGTGGCTCAAAACTGCGTGGATACTTGCCATTTTTTATGATAATAATAGCTAAAAATATATAAATTTGAATAGAACTGGTTGATGATTGTAGACAGTTGTATGCACATTTCGATTTGATATGCAGCACACATTTTATGCGGTAGAAAACGTGCCATTGTCTCAGATTTAACTTTCCACGATAAGGTAGGCGTTTATACCTGAGGAAGTGTCGCGAGTTGCAGCAGGGAATAATTGTTTTATTATTTATGACGTTACTAAACTTGTACGCCATTCATGGTTGACTAACCCATCCGAAATTTTAACCCTTTGGAATTTCGCTCGATAAAACAACAGCAATCCGGTGTGGAATAATATTTTTCCAATGTCCAACGGAAATTGATAACCATGCCCCGTCGATGGGAAAACACAGACAGTGTAAACTTAGGCAATTTATCGGGCGGTGCATAAAACGGAGGGTTTTCACATTTTTGACAACGTCATTCTTTAGATCGGATAATTTTCCACTTGTGGCTCAAGGGCCATCGAAATTTGGATGTAATCTAAATATAGGTCAGGCGCCGATAACGATTTCTGATGCGAGTCTTGAAACGAACGTCGGAAGAAACACTTTTAAGACTTGACTGAAATACAATTTATGACTTCTACTTTATGACGTACGTTTCCTGTGCAATATTCAAACGTCTCTCTTTAAATTTAGCACCGAATTGTTAAATAACTTTTCACGGTGATCTGTGAAACGTCTGTGTCCGTAATAATTGCAGTAACCGACAAGTTGCGGAAAGATATTTCATAATTCTTGCAAAAACAGTCGTGAATTACGCGCAGAATAGCACGTACTTAGTACAACTTACGTTTACTATGCAACGTTTATTTCTACTCGGATTAAAAAACTACCGTGCCGCGATCCGTCTTCGTACGCAAGTTACTAATGTCATACTTTCACATTACCTAATTTATACAGTAATTCGAAAGTATTATCAAATGATAAAAAAAATGATAGACAAGACGAGACGAGTGTACTTTTTGCGTCCACTGTACGTGCACGCGATAACCTCGAAAATGAAACGACATAGCGTCGAACGTATGCAAGTAGCAATTACCATTTCGTGAAGGATTTTCGCTTACCTTGCTATCTGCGATCGACGAATTCTTCACTGGCTTATTTGTTATTCGGCGATCAACGGTTTACGTTGGAGATTGCGAGGTTATTGCGAGCGCGCGAATCTGAAAGGCTTCGATGATGAGTTCCGTTCGTTATTGCCCGTTGCCTGCGAGTGGTATATATCACAAAAAACTTCAATAAGTACACTATCGTTACTCGGCAGGTTGTTAATAATTCTAAAAGTACGAGATACACCGGCTTCGCGCCGTTTCACTAGCCGTACCCACGTTCCACGCACCATAAACACGGCGGCTAAGATACCAAATGACTTGACCTCGAGTTTGATCGATAGCGCCATCTTTTTTTCGCCATTGTAGCTTCGATGTGGTAAAAAATCCAGACAATAGTCGACACATCGATAGCCAAGTTTATGATGCGTCGAGTTAGTAAGCAGAAATCCATTTAAATCTGCCAATTATGTGCTAAGTATATCTTCGTTTTACGACACTGTTTTATATCTTAAAAGATCTATCATTATCTTTATGAAAGGTTCAAACTAATAATAACATTCTTAAAAGTGAGCTGCTTTTTCTTTTAGTAATCTCTGCGTGCGATCTAAGCAAATTTTCTGCAGAAAATCCACTTTCCATCAACTTTCACCTCCAGCTATGTGAAAAAAGATTCAATAAAATCATTCAACCTGTTTTGCGAATCTTGAATCTTGACCAACAGATGTAAATCATATTTACACGGTTCCCGCTTATTCTAAATCTGTCACCGTAGCGTGTGTCGACGAAGAAATAATTCTTGAACGTAAAAGTATCCGATTCTCTTGACGACTATCCAAATCGACGGTAGACGAAATATTTATTCGATGAATCGGCGTGAGACGCAGCAACCTGAATGAAATATTTTACGTTTCGATTAGGCAATCGAGTAAAAATAAATTGATTCGAAATCCTCCAACAATCCATGAAAGTTCGATTCTTTTTACATCGTTTTATTTCATTCATTCACCAAACAAAGGTGTAACGAAACCGGATTCACTCACACTCGTGCATAACGTACGTTTAGTGTTAAATGACAATGCACCGTATCGAGTACTTTACTTGTACAGCGAAGGTTGCACGTTGCACATAAGAAAATGTCGTGACACACAGGTCATACGCATAAGAGCGATGCAATGACTGTATCAATAAGTATTTAATTAATTATCGCTGTCTCCACGCATACATACGAAAATTTTAATATCTGTCTCTAATTAATCCATCGATAACTTAATATAACGTATCATTAAAATAAGGGAACTAAATAATTACGTGTATATCTGACGAACAAAACATAATAGAGGCAGCGGTTTCTCTACACATTTCTGCCGGTTATTTATGGAGCGAACTCGATTACTCATGTTAGTTGTAAAAGAATCGTGTGATACGCATTAAATTCTTTATTTTTGTTCTGACAAAGTTGTAGTAAATAATATTCTGATTAAGGTCCGTGTTACCTCTAATTGTTAAATATACACACGTTACTGGAAGTCGGAAAAATTTGACACACGCAAATCGACTATTCTAAGAACATATTACGTCAAACTTGTCTCTAAAAAAAGAATAAAAATCTAAGAATCTTACGTTACTCGTAACTCTAATCTGTGCTTAATCGGATTGAAAAAGAAGGGAGATGACAACTTAGAAAGCTAAATGAACCATGCGGTATAGGCGGTGCGCAGTCTTCGGTAATTAAAATAGAAAAGTAATAGTGCTTCTTCATTTGAAGTATCATTTGAATAAGGGATGCGCGCAGGCAAAGCGATGAGAATAGAGGCACGATAAAATGCTAACTCGTACAACGTTGTACAAGTTTTTCCTTTACCCTATCATTCCCTGCACGATATGCATGCATCCCAGGAAACGAAGGGAGGTCACCTCCGTGAAATATTCTACTCGACGAACCAGCCAGAACAAAAACAAAACCATTTTTAACGGCAAATAACATATAGACTACATAAAGCACAATTACAGTATATTTCACAAATTGTTTAAACATTCATATATAATTATACGAATCTTCGCATATGACGGAAAGGCGATTTGATCAGTTAGGGGGGAAGATTATTTCGTAAAAACAATGTATTCTTAAGGACAGGAAAACATTAGGAGATTGAAGGGCTTTGCGAAAAATGGCTTCATCTGGCAGACTGCCATGCCAGTTTGGATTGCTGGCTTAGAAATTGCGAGGCCTATCTCTCTTTGCTGCGAGAGGTTCTTTTCTAATTTTTCTTTTTACTTTATTCCGCATTTTTTCTCCCGTTCGAATGTTTTCTTTCAATCTGCATTTCCCGCCACGATCGATGCATAATTTCGGAATGTCGACAATATTTTAATTTTTACCTTATCAAGGTGCAATAAATAAATGGTATTCTCTTTTACACTGCGCGTGTGTGTATATGAGAGAAAAAAGAGAGAGAGATAATACATGGTTGACTGACTGTTAGTTCTATCGCGCGAGCAGGTGAAGGAGGGTGCAATTACATCACCTGCCAGTAGTCACAAGCAGTGAGACAACCATACCGAATAGATTTACTTGTTCAATTTCTTTTTCTTGTGTGACGTATACCACTGAAAACATAAAAAAATAGAAACAAATTTTTGTTAACTAGAAACAGTAAGTCATTGCACCGTCGGTTACCACTCACTGCAATTTACATGTCAATTAATGGGCCGATGCGACATTTTTTGTAATGTAGTGGACAGAGCAACATTCTCTCATCTATTGATCACATTTTTATCATCGTATTTATATAATGTAATGTACAATATGCAGCTACATTATGATAATCAGTATGTCCAACGCATTCAAACTGACAACACCGTGGGTACTTCACTTTTTTTGTTCTTAATATTCTTTTCAGTTTTTTTTTTCAA